AGGTAGTTGAGGGAGAAAATTTACAACAAATGGTCTCAACTACAGCTCCCTGAGACTTCATTCTATTCCCCTTTATGTAATTCAAGTTGAGGAGTCTCTGTTTTTACACAGCTGAGCAGATCCAGTGCACATTATGGACACACAAGTGCAAGTAATCTGAGTGGGACTTGCAGGGAACGAGAAATAGAAAATAAAATAGCCACCACACTGAAAGCGGCGCACTGCTGCTCAGGAAGATTGAAGATTTAAATGTGGTAGAACTTTTGATTTGTTGTGAAACGCTATGATTGCACCTGGTAAAGATGCTGCAGTTATTTAATTCTCAGCGTGAGAGAAAATACATGAATTCACTAAAACTAATAAGTACTACAAACGTTTCCTAAAATCTGTGAATATCTAGTTTTCAAGCCATATTTGGTTGCTAAGCAGTTTTAGCCTGTTGAGGTCTAAATTTGCTTGAGGTGCATTATCTGTCTGACCACACTACAGAGTTGAATATTTTATTAGGAAGAACCAAAGTTTGGACTTTGCTGATATGACTTCCATGTTTGTTCTGTAAAGGGAACTATATCAATAGTTTCTCATGTGTCCCACAGGTCAGTAGGTACCTTTGCCAGAGCTTTGGATTGCAGTAGCTCTGTCCGACAGCCCAGCCTACATATGAGTGCTGCTGCAGCCTCCAGGGACATCACCTTGGTGAGATAGACATATATATGATTATATATATATGATTTGATTTAAACTGTTAACACATGACATGTGAAAGGTGTTGTGGAGAAGGAGGACTGTTAATCAGAAAATCCTTGCGCGTGAGTCTGTTAGTGATTGTTGAAGCCTGTGTCTGGTTATCCTTAACAAGCATTTGGCCCCAAAACCTAGCCAGCCTAGTGTGGGTCTATTCTGCCCTAGATCCTTTCCTCATATATAAAACATGGATGAGAGCCCTAGCTACCCACATGTACAAAAACACACGCACACACACAGAAACAGCTCAGATACTCTCATGGAGGCTGTGTCTACACACTCTAAACTGGTAAACTATAATCATATAGCTGCAATGAAATGCATGATTGGTTCAACTCATGCACTGACATGGATTTGTCTTGCATTTAGTTTCATGCCATGGACACCCTCCATGCTACAGGCTACGACATGACTCGAGCCATCGCAGCACTGGTTCCTCAGGGTGGACCCGTCCTCTGCAGGGATGAAATGGAGGAGTGGAGCGCCTCGGAGGCCAACCTCTTTGAGGAGGCCCTCGAGAAATACGGCAAAGACTTTACCGACATCCAGCAGGATTTTGTAAGTGGGAAAACAGTAGGATTTGATTTTAGGAAACATGCTTTCGTTCTACGTGTTGGATGAGAAATGAAAAGCACTGTCATATTTGTGTGCAGTATATGAAACTACATAAAGACTGTAAGCTGAGAACCGGGCAGACAGACATAGAAGTGCTGTTTTCCACTTTGGGTTTCAAATGGAATAACAAAATGTATTGCAAAGTGTCCTTGGTTTATTTAAGAGCTGCAAATACAGCCACTTGAATTCATTTTATTTTACAGATTTTTCTCAGCTTATCATGCTTTATAATTATCAACTTATGCAGCAATTTGCACAGAAATTAAATTGTGAATTTTATGTACAGAAAACATAATAAAGGAATATCATGGAGAGAGCTCTGGCTGTAATACGTACCATCTATAAGTTAACTTGCCAACACCTTTACAGCTCAAACCAGTCCTATGATTCTCCCCATTTTAGACTTCGTTTAGGTGTTCAGCTGATTTTCCTTTTATGCAACTTAAGCATAACAGTAGTCTCGTAAAGAAGCACTGTGTCCAG